AAAATCATAATGAGAAAACTCTCACATAATTTCTTTTTGCCAACTTACTTGGCTCCTTGAGATGAAACTGAGCATGCGAGAGGAAGAAAAATCTTGGGGGAGAGCACAGGGACCTTTATTTTTCTAGAATGAGGAGGCTGCACCTTTATTACTGCTGAGTGAGAGAAAGGAACCGGATATCAGAACCTCACCTGCAGGTAAACATATTAAATTGAAATGATTTTATGGGTATTTTACTTATAGACTTTTGATGATGTTGGGAGGCATTTTGTTTTTGTCAAATCCCTATTTTTGGAAAGAAAGTCTTAGTTTTTAGCCTCGAATTTGAGGTACTCTAAGCATCAGAATAGGCAAGAATGATTTAGTCCCTAATCCTCATATATGTGATTTAGTTCATATAATTTAGATCATAATTATTTGCCTAGTATTTGTGGAGAAATATGTAGATTCATTAAACAATAATTTCAAATAATAAATCTTACATGATTTCGGATTGTAATAGACAAATGACGATGGTTAGTTGTAATATTCGTACTTAATGATGCATGATCTAGGTTTAAGTTGTTAGATTATTAGGGTTTGGAGATAGATTAGAAAATTTAAAAATTAATTACAGATTTTAAAGCGTAAATGCTTGGGAAGACGAAAAAGGTAATAGAACAAGAACAATCCAAAAAGCAACCTAACTAAACAACAAAAAAAAAAAAAATAGCATGTAACCTAAAAAGATAGGTAAAACAAATATAATCCATTGGGAAGAAATTTAAAAATAATAAGGCATGTCATAAAGTAAATAAGTGATAATAAATCTCAATTAAATAAAGTGCTAAAAATAAAATTTAGAGAGAGGATTTATGATTTTAAATAGTAGAATTAAATATAGTAGTTCCTTAAGAAAAAATTAAAAGTAATAGAACTACCTTTAAAAAGTAATAAATCGATAATGACAGTATCAATTAAATGAAATATTAGAAATAAAATAAAGAGAAAATAAAAGTCAATATAAAATGTCAGTTTAAAAGTCGTGAGTCAGTGTAAAGTGTCAAAGCATTTAAACTCATTTGATCATTTAATAATGAGGGGTGTGTGTCTAGCTGAAATTCTGTCAAAGTTACTGTTGGAGAACTATATCATGTGGATGGAAATTTAATTGTACTATTATTGTTATTGTGTTCATGAAGGTGTATGTGCGTGTGTAGCTGAAATTCAGTTGGAGTGACTATTGGTGAACCCCATTACGTGAACAAAAAAATCAACTATACTGTTACGTTGCTATGTTTATGGAGGGTGTGTGTGTGTAGTCGAAATTTGATCAAAGTGACTATTGTGAACCCCTTCTCGTGGATAGAAAAATCAACTCTATTACTTAACAATCACATTGGTGAAGAAATATTGTGGCCAGTACTACCATTACTATTATTATGTTTACTTAATTGTGGAGATCCCTACTGCTCTCCTTAATAATGATTAAAACGATGTAGTGTTAAGCATGTAAAGTGAAATGTAAAATGTGTAAGTGCTAAAATATAAATCTTAAGTGTTAAGTACGAAAAATGTAAGTGTTAAAGTAAATTGTATAAAGTACAAAGAGTTAGGAAGTGAAGTATGAAATGTCAATTGAAGAGTATAAAATATTAAAATATTAAGTGTAAGTAAAATTCAAAGGACATTGGATAAGAGAAAGTAAAGTATGAAAAGATGTAAAATCAAGTCTGTAACATCCTGAAATTTGTAATCCATATAGATCAATAAAGCGGTATTTCTTATATGTGTTTTAAATCTATTTTTAAATATAAAGGGAACATGAAGAATTATGTTTACGGAAATTTGGTGCCTACAGATTTGAGAAATTCCCAACCTACAAGTCCCTGCCTTCTTTTAACCCTTGGGCAAGAGTAGAGAATACGCTCCCCCACACTCTCGCAGCTAGAAATTTCGAAACTCGCAGTGTACATT